GTACGGGGGCGCCCGCCGTGAGAACTACAGCTCCCAGAGGGCCGCGCGAGGCGGAGCGTGCGCAGCAGGGGCCTTCCGGGTGCTGGCGCCGGGTCCGTGCCGGGAAGGGGATGCATGGTAAAGGGTAAGTGAGGCAGGCGGCAGAGTGGGGAGGGCGAAAGCGACAGAGACTGGGCCTGGGTCGAAGGGACCACCTCAAGCTTTGCTTTCCCTCCCCGCAGTGACCATGACGAAATTGGCGCAATGGCTTTGGGGACTGGCGCTCCTGGGCTCCGCTTGGGCGGCCCTGACCATGGGCGCCCTGGGCCTGGACCTGCCCTCGCCCTGCCGGGAGGTGCTGTGGCCACTGCCCGCCTACTTGCTGGTGTCCGCCGGCTGCTATGCCCTGGGGACTGTGGGCTATCGCGTGGCCACTTTTCACGACTGCGAGGACGCCGCCCGTGAGCTACAGAGCCAGATCCAGGAGGCCCGAGCAGACTTGGCCCAAAGAGGGCTGCGCTTCTGACGCCCTGACTTCGTTCCCAGGAAGCCCTCGTTCCCATTTTCCATTAAAGAGCGAGTTTATTTTGTAATCTTGTGCGGTTTCAGTACGGAGAATGGTAATTGGGGATCCTGTGTACCAGTTGTGGAGAAGGGAAGGGCCATCTTCCTGGGGTCATCTCAGCCTTTAAGTTTTAAAAAAATTTAATTTCTCCTGGGAGATCGGAACCCCCAACAGTCTTCACCCCCACCCTCGGCCAGCCTGGATTTTGTGGGCTGGGGCAGGCACAGGGAGACCTTCGTAGGGAACCTGCACCTTCCCACGTGGGTCCAGCATCACAGAGCACTGAGCCCAGCGCAGCTTTCATCTTTGCATCTCACTCAATGTTCCCCATTTTTTGCTCCAAAGGAGGCAAAAAGCCCTTCTCAAGATCCTTCAGGATGGAAATGTCATTCTCTTTTCTAGTATTTTAATTTTTTATAATTTTTAGAAGTTTCTCTTGCCATAGCATGAATGCACTCACCAGACACAGTGAGAAATAAACCCCCAGGGGGTGTGGCCACCATGCAGTCCCTTCTCCATCTCTTCTCAGGATTTTCAGCATTCGAGGGCATGCACACACACGCGCCTAGTGTGATTTTCAAGCTGCTGAGTCTGGGACATTAACTGTGGTTGGCTATGTGGGAGTCTAGTACCTTAACCACACCACTCACTGGCTCGCCCACTCTGTTCTTTTTTTTTTTTTTTTTTTTTTTTTTTTTTTTTTTTTTTTTGGTAATAGAGATCGTTTGCTATAGGGCATGTGTGTACACAGGAAAGACACAGAGACAGAAAACAAGAAGTCCCTCCCACCCCGGGGGCGATGGCCACTCTGCAACCCCTACTCCTCCATTCTCTTCTCAGGATTTTAGGCATGCACCACAGGTACCCACATGTTTTAAGCTGTTAAGTCCAGGATTCAAACTGCGGTCAACTCTGTGGGAGCCCAGCAACATAACCATCACATCATCTGCTGGTTCTCTAACCCTGTTTTTTTTTTTTAAAAGAATTATTTTACTTGGGCCGGCAGGTGGCATTGTGGTTAAGGATGCTGGACTCCACTTGGGCGACCACTGTTCAAGTCCCGGACCTGGTGGCTGGCTTTCTCACTTTCCCTCTCTCTCTCTCTGTCCCTCTCTTGTCAAACTTAAATAAGTAAATAAAATAAAGTTAAATAAAAAAAATTCTTTTTAAAAATATTTTTGAGAGGTTTTTGCCATAAGGCGTGTGCACTCGCCAGAGAGACAGAGAGAGACAGAAAGTGAGAAATCACCCCCCAGGGGGGATGGCCACGCCACAATCCCTTCTCCTTTCTCCTCTCGGGATCTTGGACATGCACGCACACATGCCCAGCGTGAGTTTAAGCCAACTGGTCTGGGACTTGAATCACGGTTGGCTACATGAGAGTTCAGCGACATAGCCATTACGCCAACTGCTTGTCCCTAAAATAATTTTTTAAGAATTATTTAAATTTATTTTATCAGAGAGGGACAGGGTGTGTGTGTGTGGGGGGGGAATGAGAAAGCAAGCCACCAGGTCTGGGATTCAAACCATGGTCAGCCACATGGGAGTCCAGCATCCTTAACCATCATGCTATCTGCCGGCCTTCCCCCCAACCCTGTTCTTAATAAGGCCTTCCCAAGGCCTTTTATTATTTTCTTTTTCTAGGTATCTTTTCTGAACATTCCTACTAACCTGAGAATAGCTGCATCTACCTACCTTCACCAAACCAGGCCAAATGGGAATCATGACTAGAATCATGATGGGTGGGTGGGGAACAGTTGTTGGGTTTTTTTGCTTTTTTTTTTGAGAGGTATTTTTGCTATAGGGCGTGTGTGCTCACCAGAAAGAGACAGAGAGACAGAAAGTGAGAAATCACCCCACCCCAGGAGGGATGGCCGTGCAGCAATCCCTTCTGCATTCTCTTCTCCGGATCTTGGGCACGCACGCACATGCACCCAGTGTGAGTTTAAACCACTGCGTCCAGGACTCGACCCGCGGTTGACTACATGGGAGTCCAGCGACATAGCCATTACGCCAACTGCTGGTCCTGGGAACAGTTTATTTTTAAGGCACATTCTAAATATAGCACCCTAACCTCCATCATTAAAAAAAAAAATTTTTTTTTCTCAAAAATAAAAGTAATTTCATTTCCTAGGTCCCACCTGATCATCTCAGTGACACGCTTTCTTTGGTCCTTCTAGTGCTAATGCTGTCTCTTTTCCCTGTAACTCATTGCACCCATGGAGCTAGTCAGCAAGACCAGCTGAAATAGAGCTGTCTTTGGTACCAAGGTGGCATTACGGTGCCCAGTGGTGAAGTGAGCTGCCTCACGTTTGCAGGAACTGGTAGTTCCTGGGGGAGCTGTCTTGCTCGTGGGGATATTTCCAGAAAAGCCAGAGGCGAATCAAGCTTGTGACGATTCCTGGAAGGTTGGGCACCTGAAATCAAAGGGCTGCTGTGAGGAGAGGAACCAGTTTTCCCCGTCCACAGCAGTCATGCCGTCCATATTCTGCTTACCATGATGTAGGGATCTCCAAGTCGGAACCCATAGAGGGACCAGGAGGCAGAGGTAAGAAGGGTGGCAATGGTGAGTGAGAAGGAGAGACGTTTGGTTGATCTCGTTTGAATGATCTTGGCCTGTGGGAAAGGAAGAAAGACTCCTAGCCCAGGCACACAGTAAAGTTCCCACCTAACCCCAGAATTTCTTCTAAGAAATGGCCAAGCATCCTCCCTGATCTGTCACCCAGCCCTTATATCTTGCCTTGTCTCCTAGGATTTGGGTCTCCCTCTCCTTGGGAGTTGTGCTAGACTCTGGCTATCCGAGCCTGGCCCTTCTAATCTGCCCTACCTCCACCAATACCTCTACTCACCAAGTCAACCAGTGGTGAGATGTACATGCTGATGGTGAAGACACTGCAGAAGAGGCCCAGCTGCTGAAGCTGAGCCTCAAGGTTGGGCACCAGGAGCCAAAAGTAGCCGAAACCCAGGAGAAGGACCCCCAGGAGGGTTGCCGTCTGTAGGAGCACAGGACGCTACAAAGGAGAGACGCCTTACTTGCAGGTGTGCCAGGAGCACTCTGACCTCCTGCTGCACCTGCTGCAGTGAACTCATCCTGCCCTCTCCCCTGCTCCAGTAGGGAAGCCAGCCTTTGTTTGACTCCAGTGTTGCAGTTTCCACACCCTCCACACCCTCTTTCCCACTAGTGACTTGTTGGGAAAGTCACATTCACTCACAACACTGGAGGACTGAACGAGGGAAAAAGATGTCTTTTTTGGTGAGCTCGACACACAGTAGGAGCTTGTGTGATTGAGTAGGGGAAGCGGAGGGAATCATCTCATTCTCAGTCACTGGGCCTGGCTCTACAGGAACATCAGAAACAAAAGCCCTTTCCCCTGGACTTGCTGGACAGCTGGGGTGAGGGGTAGGGCACAGGCATCAGGCTAGGTAGGGCTACCAGCTGGGGGCACAACGTGTGTGTCTCAGAAGGCTGGCTTCCTGGAGGAAGGAAAACTCCAAAGCTGGAAGGGCCTTCCAGGAAAAGATGGCAGTGCCAGCCTGTCAGTTTTCTAGGAAATCGTGTTTGCCCTGTGGGCAAGGTGGCCTGCAGCAGGCAGGTGTCCGAGGGAGGGCCGCTACCTTCCGAGGGCAGTAGTGCAGGTACACCAAGATATACAGTGTCTGAAGCACGGCACCCACTGCGTTGACGATGATGATGGTCCCGTCACGCTTCAAGACCCCGTAACTCAGCCAGCTCAAGTTGCTGCAGGGAGGAGGGGAGAGACACGACCCCGGAGCTTGAGTGTGGAAGGGGTCCGCGAGGGGTCTCCTCCACGAGCTCCTCACCCCTCCCCCACCTACCTCGGACTACCTTTCCCGCTGCAGCCCTCAACCCTCTCACCTGACATCCGTGGTGAGAAAGGGCAGGAACTGGACGCTGTCCACGCTCCGGGTCATACGCATGTGACTGAGGTCTGATCTGTAATGGGGTCCCGAAGGGAGGGGTGAGGGGTAGATCCCCCCTGCTGGGATCCCGTGTCTATCATTCTCCCCAGAGGACCACAGACACACCCCTCCTCAGCTCCCCTGCCTTCTCCCTCAGGTCCTGCAACTGGCCCTTGCCCTTGTACTCCAGACCCCTCGACCCGATTCCACTTTGACCCGGATTCTGGACGCAGCCCCGGGCTGGGGCCACGTCTCCGTCCCTCTCTCCTGCTCCTTTCCTGACTTCCTGGTCCTACCCCCGCCCGGTCCGGCCGCGCTCTCACAAGCCAGTGGAGAACATGCCGAGGGTAAAGAACACGCAAGCTCCGGAAAGGAGCGAGTCGACCATGCCGCCCGCTTCCATCCGGCTGCAAGTCTGATCCCGCGCCCAGGACCCGGAGCCCGCTAGCTCCGCCGGGCCGGGGACGCCGAAGCCCCGCCCAGCGCGCGCCCGGCTCCGCCCCCGCGCGCTCGGGCTTGTCCCTCCGGAGACTGAACCGGAACCCGGCCCTCCCCTAAAACGCCGAACCGGAACTGGGGCCCCGCCCCTCGGAGCGCCTGTCTCTGCCCGAGCCGACTCGCTGCCGGTTGGTGGTGCTCATAGTCCTGGTCCTGCCCTTGCCCTCCAGATGCTGGTTTGTCCCTTTTAGGGCTCCGCAGATTTGTCCCCAGCCCCCGCCGGTCCCCACACTCTGCTAGCCCCTGGATCATCTAACCACCCAGCCTCACTCGACTTGTATGGCCACAGGCCCAGGTGTCTACGCGGTAGACCAAGACAAAAGCTTGCTAGACCAACCAGATTTCAACACGCTTCATCCAGAGCTTCTTATCAGAACCTTAGTTGCTCAGGGTTTGGGAGGACCCGGGAATTTTCTGAAGTCTCTTCCCAGCTTCTCCAGGGATTGCCAGGAACCACCCAGGCCTCATCAGACGCCCTCCCTTTCCAGCCTGAGAGCCGACTTTACATAACTTGGCCAGTGCACCGAAGCCCCTATCACTGACCCCAAAGGCCGACCTACTTGCTGCTGGGAACTTTCCCTCCCAACCTCCCACGCATCCCGGCGGGTCCGGCTGTGGGGTGGGGCGCGTGTCTCAGCTGGCGTTCCTGCCTTCCCGGCTGCCCTGACTCACCCAAAGAGCATGAGTACCTGAACAGTATGCCAAAGCCCAGCACTGAGGGGGTGGGAGAGGGGAGACGTTGGACAGGAAGAACTTCCAGCGTGGGGTGCCGCATAGAACCTGAGACTGCTGTGGGGAGCTCTCCTGTCCTGCACGACCCTCAGAGAAGGAAACACCACCCCTTTGGGCTGGTGAGGGGCATGTATTCTTTGGAGAAGAGACAGGAATGCAAACCCACTCATTACTGGTGTAGCACAGCCCAACACAGAGCAAGGACTAGATGGTTGTAAGTTAATTCAGAGGGGCAGAAAAACACATCCAAAAAAAAACACATGGCTTTATTTTGACAAAGAATATCGTATAAAAAAATTCCAGTTGTAGAAATCAGTATAGACACATGGCAAGTTTATACACAGATACTGTACACGTGGGTCCTGCCCTTTTGGCTACAGCCTGGACAGACTGTACACACTGGCACTGCCCTTAGGGCTACACTCCAAGAACAGGTTGGCACAGCCCCCCTGCTGGTGCATTTCTGGGAGGGTGCTGCCCCCCAGGATGGGACAAGGATGCAGTGCCTGCTACAAACCTCTCTGTGGCAACTCCGCAGATGGAGGTCTTGCTGGGAGATGCTGGACAGCCCAAGCATGCTGCATCTCCTGTACCTGACTCCCAAGTGGGAAACTGCCTCTTGATTTTCCTTCCGTCGGTTCATCCGGGCATCCTGGCTCTCTCTGGGAGGGGCATCTTTCCCAAGTTCAGTGTCCATCCACCCAATCCCAGGCCCCTTCCAGCTCAGATCCTGCTGTATCTTTAAGAGGACACGTCTGCATAGCTTGCTTCTTTGGCTTAAAGGCAGGAATGACAAGGAAAAGACTTCACTTCTTTCTCCATCCCTCCGAGGTGGAGCCGGGAACGGCACTGCCAGGCTGGTTGACCTCCTTTGGGTTGAAACCCTTGATACTGACCCGTTCTGAGGCTGCTGGTGGCAGCTTGTGCACATGGTGGGAGTGTTTCCCAGGGCTCTCAGGGCTTTGGGTGTGGCCCCAGGACAGGTGAGGGGTGCCTGCCACTGTCCCTAGGCCCAGTTCCAATCCTTAAGCCAAGTGTGGCATACACCGTCATGGCGCTTGCAGCAGCAGAAACGGCAGCAGCAGCACAGCCCAGGCAAGAGGGAAGAGGCGGGGGGCGGCACTGTGGCCGATGCTATGCAGCACGTGCACCTTCGAGTCGTCTGTAAGTGAGAGAGCAGAGGGCCCAAGATGAGTGGCTCTGCTGTTTGCTCTGGCCCTCAGCCCAACAGGATTTCCCAGCCTATGTGTGGCAGAAGTGCCACCTCCTGTACCCACCCATCAGGTGGACCCCTTCCTGCACACCAGGCCGAATTTGCTCCAGTTCCCTACCTGCTGGGAGTCTCTTCTCCTGTGGATTGGCATGGGCCTGAGGACTGTGAGCTGAAAGACAAGAGTGAGGTAGATGGGCCGTTGTATTGGAGGCAGAGGGGTGAATGCAGGGTGGGCAGGGCAGAGGTACTCCCAGCATAGAAATGGAGGAAGGAGGGCTGGCCCTGTAGGAGTTATGGGAGCTGGATCCCACATGGCTGGTGGTTCAAATCCAAGCCCCAGTGATTTGCATCTTGACCAAAATCTCAACATGATGGAGAAATAGAGAAGGGACCTGGGTATGACCATGTACCATTAGGGGTGACCTCTCCCCTCTTTGGCTAGCACATGTGTGCTGTAGCAATTAAAAAAAAAAAAGGAGGAGGAGGGAGTTGCACAGGGGCCTGACACTCACTGATTTTGCCATTGACGGTCACCTTCAACCTCAAGCACTGGTCTTCTTGATGGTGGATGGGTTTGGCTGCAAGATAAGCCCAGAGTGTCAAGGAAGGAACCTTTGTCGGAAGAAAATGCATGCCTAGCTGCCTCTGGGCCCGCTTTTTTGGCTTCTGCTCATTTTAATTCCTTCCTTCACTCTAATTTTGATTCTTACCCACCTTGGTTCTTGCCCACTTCCTGCCAATGTTCAGCCCGACCTCCCAGTCTTTAGATAACCCTCAGCTTTGGCTGTGGTAGATTATAGACACTGTCCCCTTCCCGCATCCACCCTTCACTCCTCTGAGCCTGAAGCTGGGTGAGGCCTTCACAATATGTTCCCCTTACCCGGAATATTTTATATTTCCCCTGTGTAGACAGTGTACTAGATCCATTCTACACAGAGCTGACCTTATGGCTCTTAAAACCTACCAGTGGCTCTCCACTGCTCTCAGGATAAAGTGCAAATCCTTAGCACGTTTAGACCTCCTCCCCATCATGCTCTGACTTGTCTAACTCTTCAAGCTCATCTCTCTCCACGTCCTGTGTCTCTCTCACTCCAGCTAGGCTGAACCTAGGTTCCCCGAAGATGTCAAACTCCTCTCCCAAAGCTGTGGATGTGGTCTGTGTTGTAATCCTTCTGCCTCAGCCTCCACATTGCTGGGACCTCAGTCACGCTCGCCAACTCCACTGCCTGCTCTCAGCTCAGCCTTCTCCAAGCCTGGCAGGGGCCCGGTCGTCTTCCCAAGGTGCTCAAGTCCATATTACACTAATAGTCTGCTGACCTATTTTTTTTTTTTAAGGTTATTTATTCTATGAGTGAGAAAGATGGAGATACAACACCCTCAACAGGATCTCGACGCCACAATCCACCCCTAGCCCCAGCCAGTCCAAGATCATGCATGTGGGTTCTGGAATACTCAGAGAGGTTTCCAGGCATAAACTGGCCACCTTCCCACGTGGGTGAGCCTTGCACGGCATTGCATTTACCGCAGGGCTACTGTCCAGCCCCGTAGTCTATTAACTTAGGTGTGTTCCTTCCCAGCTTCCGTAAGGACAGACCTCTGTAGTGCTTTATTTATCTGTGCCCATAGAGCCATGCAGAGTGCTCCGTGCACAGCAGCTCACTCCATGTATGTGCGATGGGAGTGACTTAAGATAGAATTCAGGCTGGCCCTGTAGCCCAGTGCTTAATGGAGCTGAATCCCAGCCCCCGGCAGCTTGATAAACACACTGGGCAAGTGCCCAAAATCTCGAGAGGATGGAGTAATGGAGGAGAAGAGATTGTGGCATGACCACACCCATGGGGGGTGCTTTCTCCCTCCCCCTCTCTCTGGCTAACACATGCACCCTCTGGCAATTATAAGGGGAAAAAAAAAAAAGGTAAAGAAAATAGAATTCGAGACATTTGGAAGGGGCCCTCTGCTGCCTGACTGCTCGGTTCCCCCCAGAGCGTGTACCCAGTGCCACTGTGCCCCTGGGATGTGCCCCAGGCCTGCCTCCCGGGCACTCACAGATGTAATAGTAGCTGTGTCCTTCTTTGAACTCCTTGCCTAGGGTGAAAGGCGTGAAGCGCTGGAACTTCTCAGACAGCTTCTCTGGGCCATGCTTGGCACTGGGCCGGTTGCACCGCCAGCGGACCTGGTCCTTGGTCCGGGGCTCGCACACCTGGTACTCCTCATGCTCCACCAGGTACAGCGTGTACCGCTCCATGGCTGCCTCCGCCACAGAGTCATCCTCGTAATGTGGACAGATGATATCCAGGTAGTCATTCAGCTGCACGTGCACTGTGTAGTCCTCATTCCGGAACCTGAGCGCACAGTGGGGAGGAAGCAGGTGGGCATACAGGAGCTGGGTCAGAGCCTCCAGCCTCCACATGTTTATGTGACCCCTTGCATTTCACGCTGGGCCTCCCCACCCCGCAAAAGTTCTTCTAAAATATCAACTCCCGATGTTTACTGATCTTGACCTCTTGTCTACCTTCCCATGTCTCCAAACATTCCCCCACCATCATCTTCCCCTATTAGGCCTCTGGTTAAAAACAATTTTAGAAGAGAGGTATTTGATATAGGGCTGGAAAGACAGAGAGCTAGAAATCACCCCCCCCTCCAGTTTCCTCTCGGGATCTTGGGCACGCACGTGCACACACTTGGTGTGAGTTTTTGTTGTTGGAGAGGTTTTTTGTTCTTTTTTTTTTTTTTTTTTGATATAGGGCACGTGCGCTCACCAAAAAGGCAGAGAGAGACAAAGAGACAGAAAGTGAGAATTCACCCCCAGGGGGATGGCCATGCCACAATCCCTTCTCCTCCATTCTCCTCTCAGGATCTTGGGCAGGCACGCACACGTGCCTGGCGTGTTTAAGCCACCAGGTCCAGGACTCAAACCATGGTTGACTACATGGGAGTTCAGCAACATAGCCATTACACTAACTGTTGGTCCCAACACACTCGGTGTGTCTTAAGCTGCCGGGTCTGGGACTTGAACTACGTACGATTGAGTACATGGGAGTCTAGTGACGACGTAACCATTAGGCCATCTGCCTCTAATGGCATTCACTTGGTACCTCCCCGGTACCAAAGCGCTTTCCATCACCCCTCTAGTCTCTTCCCAAGGGTGGGCCCCAGGTATGTCGGTAGCTCCCAGACATCCTTCCTCAGATCTGCCCCACCGCTGCCCTGTAAGTGCTATGGGACCCTCTGGGCCGCCTGCGGAGCAGCTCCGGAAGCCTTTTCTCTGTGGAGCTGCTGCTGAGCCCACACTTCTGCGGCTGCCTCTTGCTCCTCTCATTTCCTCCCCTGCCCCGCTGGGCATTACCCATATTTCCCAGCATCCCTTGTTCTCCAAACCTCTAGTGGACTCTGGCCCACAGAGGATGCCCCTGGTCCCCGAATGAGATCATTCTCATCATTCACTCAGTCCTCTTAAATCTCTCTAGCTCCTCAGATCGATGCCCTGGTCTCCTTGTCTTCTTTCCTCAAAGTACCCCCACACATCCCTGTCCTTTTACTCCCCAAAGCCACACTTCCACCTCTGCCTAGATAAAACGCTGGGGTTCTCAGATCACAGCTAGCCTCTCCCCTCCACACAACCCCAGCCCCCCAAGGTGGAGCCTGCTCCCTTCCCCCGTTCTTTCCCCTAGGCCTGACCCACTCCAGCCTCCCCCCAAACCCAGACACCTGGCCCCAGTCTGGGTGGGGTCTGAGCAGGAGCAATGCCTCTGCCTCCCTCTCCTCCCACTCCGAGCTGGTCAGCTTCTCTGAATTCCCCCAGCACTGCCAGCTGAGACTCAGCAGAGCGGCTGCCAACTTGCTCCAAACCACAGCCCTGGGCATGGGTGGCGGGAGGGGCTGAGGGGAGGGAGGGGCTGGGCCAAAAGCCTCTAAGGTGGGCACCCACTGCCCAGTCAGCAGGACCCCTGAGGGGATCTGCCTTGCTGCAGCATGCCAGCCTGCGGCAGGGCTTCAGGGCCCCTCCCCCACCCCGGGGAAAGAGACTGAGAGGAGCAGAGAGGCTTTTAAAATTCCTCTCTGGAGAGATAAACATAGAAGCCATTTCAGAACAGGTATTTCAGCTCTGGGCCTGGCGTCTTCCCCCATTCCCGTGACGGGCACTGACTCATTCCTCTTCCACCTCTGCTCCCCGCCCCAGCACTCCTGAGAACCCATGAAAATGTACCTTGTCAAATGTGGACAGCCCCAGAACCCCAGATGGCACAGCGCCCGCCTGCCCTGGGCACTGTGCTCTAGGCAAAGGGACTGGCAGGTCTGAATGGGCAGGCTCCACCAGGCCAGGGCCTGGCTCACAGCGGCACCGCCCCTCTCACCATGCTGCCCCTGCCTGGGGCTTGGAGATCCCAAGGCCGGTGCCCACTGCCCTGAGTCACCCATGCCAGCCTCACACCCGCCCAACTCCCTGCCACCTCATCTTTGCCCCAAGCTGGGCCTGGCTTGGCTGCCTATGGACTCCACTCTGACGGCTTCTCTAGTGCCGGGCATGACCGAGGGTGTGTGTGTGTGTGTGTGTGGGGCTGAGGGACAGGGCAGAGGCGGTGCTGGGGGGCACCAGTCGCCCCCTCCTGGGGTATAATCCGCTCCACTTAGCCCTGCTTTGACTCTTGCTCTCCATCTGGGAAAGGAGGGCAGCGGCGTCAGGGAAGGCGGGGAGAGGGACAAGGAAGAGGCTCTTTCCTGAAAGAGAGGAAACCTGGGAGCTTGGGAACGGAAAAGGCCAGGGTCCCCCCCTCCCTCCTCATGGCTTCCTGTCCCCTCCTCCTCCTCCAGTCAACACCTGGCATGGGCATAAACAGGGACTTTGCTCCCTCCCACTGCTAGGATGAGATTGGGTCAAGGAGGCAAAGAACGTGCAGCCAGGCCGGGCCGGGGAGGCTGGCCGGGCTGCCCCGGCACCCCACGGGCTAGAGGGCATTGCCCTCTGGGCTGGCACCTGGCTTTCTGCATGCCCCACCCCAACAAGCCACAGACCACAGGCCCCTCACCAGGCAGGGCCACAGGGTCAGAGTGGGGACAGGTGTGCCAGGGCTGAGGCTGGCTAAGCGGAGTGAGGGGCTTTTCCTGACCTCCCACGCTGCCCAGCTTTTTCCCAACTCTGCCCTGCCCTCCCCCTGCCTTCCCACAAATATTGTTCCCATAACTTCAGAAAACTCAAGGGCAAGAACAAAGGGTCCGGCTCAGCGTCTTCCTCCCAGTACCATTTGCCTCCCAGCCCTAAACCTGCCCAGGAGAGATTAACTCCTTCCTGCCCAGAGCCCTTTGTAAGCGTTAACCCCTTCCATTCCTCCTGAGGTTTCCCCATGATCTCCCTCCCTCTATCGCTTCTTGTTTTACTGCCTGAACCTCACACAGAGATGATGTCCTCAACCTACCTGTGCACATGGGTGCCTCCCTGTGCATGTCAAAGATGCCCGGTGGGGGCTCTCCAGGCTCCCTTAAGTGCAGAGTGAATGCCTAGCCCCTGCACCCTGGGCCCCTCCTGAGAGGTCCTTCCAGGGTTACTCGCACACTCTGCTCCTCTGGATGTCACACCAGGTACCTGACAGTGTGTGCAGACGCCCAAGTGACACAAGAGGAGGAGCACAGAGGCTTTTGTAGTGGGGGGCCTAGACCAGGAGCCCCAGCGGCCAAGGAGGATGCTCACGTTCAGGGCAGGAATGTTCAGGACGGCCCCTCGCTTCAGAGCAAAAGGTGCCAGAGAGACGGAGGGCAGAAACAGTGCCCACCAAGTAGGCAGGGCAGGCTCCCCAAAAGTACAGAATCCTTCCCGCCTCTGGTCACCTCCCCAAGCTCAGATCAGGGGCTGCCTGGGACAGTTACCCAGCGGGGTAAGTGCCAGCCCGGCGGCCCGGCTGCCAGTGGGAGACTCAGGGCTTACTTGGGATTTGAACTGTTCCAGAAGACGGTGTGGCGGTCAGCAGCAGCCAGACTACCCAAGAGGGGGGCCCAGAGGAACTCCATAGCGCGGGGCCTGGCTAGGCCGGGCGGGACGAGGGGCTCCTCCAGCTCCGTGCTCCAGCAGCCTCGCTCC